AGCCCCAACCGGCAGCCACGAAGAACTGCTCTCCTCTGATGCAGTTCCACAGGCTGCAGTCCACGTAAGTGCTGCATTCTTTGCAATCCTGCGAGCACCTGCTCTTAAAACTATTCTCAGTCAGTCAGTCGGTGTATTTGAGGGAAATAGGCTTACGCCTTTGAACTCCCTATTTGCACATAAAAAATCGATAAATGAGCAAAAATGTGAAGAAATTACAGCATTAAGTGAATGCAAACATTGATTCACATATGACACTGGTCTCATGGCTAAAAAGTCACATAGTCCGCTTGTTGCTGCAACATATATCTGTCAAGCCGACACTTGAATGTCTCCACAGATTGAGACATGACAATCGTCTCGGGCAGGTTATTCCACGGTTCCACAACAGGGTTGGAGAAGAAATATTTTCTCACATTCAGTCAACCTTGGGGCACACGTAGCTTGAAGGGATGTCCCCGGAGGCTAGTTGTAGTAGCAAGTTGGAAAAAGTCATCGCACCGAAGGGCGCAGTCCAAGCCACGCACGATACGGAAAGTTTGTATCAAGTCTCCGCGCAGCTGCCTATAACTCAGAGGATAGAGATTAAGGTTATTAAATCGGATCTCGAATGGCAGCGCACTTTGACCTCTTATTAGTTTTGTTGCTCGCCTCTGCACCCTTTCGAGCAGATTGTAATCCTAATGCGGCCTTACAAACGTGCCGAAGATTTTGGAGTAACAGTATTCATCGAAAACTTCAGAGGAGATCACCCTTGTTAACTGGCAAACAGCATCACCCATCAAAGCAGTTGGACATGTTTCAGTCACAAAACTGTCTACTCAAAAGGGATGATCTACTTGTTGCTGTGTGTGCGGAGAGGGAACTACAAATGAAGTTCATAGCAAAGAGCATGCAAGACAGCCACTAATTTTGACTAGGTGTATTCACTAGAGGAGTTTCCAGCCGACGATAAGGTCTCATTGCGCCGGGATCTTAAATTCTCTTCATACAATGTTTGTATTTATAAGCGTGTTAGGTCTTGTGAACTTCTACTGGCACGAGTTAAATGTGTGGCACTACTTCTCAACTTTGATGGCGCTAAGTCTGTAAACCACATTATGCCGAGCCCAACGTTTTGACCCAGTGACCTATTAACCAGTCCCTTTCTACTCACCCTGAGATGCTCATTCAGACGTCTAATTTCTGATGTTGTTATTTTCTTTTAGGAGACTATTGAGTCCTAGGGAGGACATCGGGCTTCGTCCTCTATGTGACCTCGCTTGTCCACCCATTTCCCCTACCCCCCTGATCGGCCCACGTACCGTGTAAATATCCATTTGCTTGTGCGTTGGGACCTGCTCTTAGGTCGCCTTCTAGGCCTCTCACTGCCAAAAGACTCGAGCTTGCCGCTCGACAACTATCTGGCTGTCACTCGCTATCTTTCCCCACGTCCCTTTTGCAGCATCTATCACCCCACCCCACCCCCTCATCACCAACGCTATTTTTCGACAACAATTATTTTCCAGCTCACAGTCCCTGTCCTCAATAAGAACGCCGCTCGCGACGGCTGTGCCCGTTTGCCTCCCCAAGGCGACTGCCCTACAGACGGGCAGACAGAAAAGAACTATTTTCCCCCCATCTGTGAGGCGCAGAGAGGACCTTCAGGTTTACTTGCGCACGTTCAGTTTTCTTCCTTCTACTGGAGTATCGTGTTTTTCTTCTGTCATAGGGGGGATGTTTCTTGCGGTTTGTCCGCCTGATCCACACTCACCTGTTCGCGCATATATTTATATTTGTAACTATTTTTAAACGAATACACACATCTTCATAGTCGTTTGTTTGGATGTCTTGATATTTTTTTCCCCTAACGATGCTTCCTCGGCCCTTGGAAATTTAAAATGCAACTGCTGTGCCAGACGGTAGCCCTCGCGGGAGATTTACGTTGACTGCGCTCTTTGGAAGCCTGAATTCTCCTACAGGCTGTAGTAAGTCTTGCTCTAGAGTGGACGTGGCTAGCACACTGCGGACGAGAGCCTTCCCGAGTGGTTGACTGTTGGAGGCGAGCTTTTTCGAACTAACAGTGGAGTGGTTTTGTGTCATTCTCTAGCGAGAGACGCTGCACAATTGAAGCTTCCTTGTACGGCCGTCAGATGTTAGGAGCGTCTTTGTAAACAACTTAGAGTCCTAACTGAATGCTCAGAGGGGGGCGCCTTTGAATTGATGTTCATGACGAACTCGCTGTCCACGTAATGTTAAAAACCGTCACACGGTCGCCATCAGTGCTTTGCGGGACCGCACCCGTCGACGGTGGCGGGAACGGTCGTTGTGGCAACGACCGCAGTAGTGCTGGCCACACAAAGGGCGTTTTTGTATCGGCTCTGTAGGCTGGTTCTTCAGCAGCTAAAATGTGATATACAT